GATGAGGAAAACAGAATTCTGTTTAACTTCTTGGTATTTATTTCAAAAACCTACACATCGCTGTATATAATACAAACCCATAGTCAGCTGGTTTTGAGAAAGCAAAAACCGAGACTGTAAAGGCAACCATTTGTGGTGTTCTCTTGTCAGAGGACAACAGTGCAATACTCAAAATGCTGAGAAAATTGTTTGCACGCAAAAAAAGGGATTAAAGTATTTAAAAAAAAGAATCCCTTTCAATAATAATAAAAAGATAAAATTAAAAGTGTTCACCGGCATTAGTTTTGTGCATCATGGTTTGCAAAATAATTTGATGGACAGAAATCCAAATATAGCTTGATATAGGCCTGTAGCAATGTTTTTCCATGTGGGGGAGAGGGAGAAACATCCATAAAATATCTGCGTACTACAGATTTGTGCTACACGTATGCCATCTTTCCAATAGAGAATATCTTCCGTATAAAACTAGTAGAGATGTCAAGTCCCAGCCGTTATGGGTTACATGTATCGAAATAGCCCGATTTTTTTAATGATAAATCTATAGGACAATCGGGGATAAAATTTAACAATTTTGCTATGAAAGTGCTGTCACTCAAAGTATAGGCAGATAATTGTAGAAAATGTTAACGAAAGGTTAACCTGTACCACCTTTCAGAGTAACCAATGAATTCGTCCATGGATGCATTGACGGTAGTTGTAACAAGAATATATAGATATGGGTTACCCCATACCCAAGATATTCGACTTTTAATTAATTCGAATTTCACTAGAAAAAAAATGCACATGTTATGAAACTGGTGTATAGTTCTTCATGTCCGTTGCAAGTACCGCCACCAGTATAAGCGTAACTAGCAAACATTGCACACACCTGTGCTTGCAAGACCAAATATATATATCTCTCTCTTCCTCTTTCTGCAAAAATAAATGGGGTTCCAACGTTCGCTAAACACCCCCTCCCTGGATCCGCCAATGAAGTTAAAATTCAACCATTACGATACCTGTACGCTTAAGCCTCTTTTAATTTTGTTGTTAATTTTAAAGACTACATTATAATAGATACCTGGTAGATCAACATTTCATATTCATATCATTTCAAGGTCATGATTTTTTTTATCATTGCAGCCTAATTAAGCAGACTTAAATAACGAGAAAATTACAAGATACATGTAAAATAAATTAACTTAATTACACTTTTGTATAATCACTTAATGTACTTAAATAACGATGAAAATTACAAGGTACATGTAAAAAAAAAACTAGATTTAACTACACTTTTGTATCACTAAATCTAGAAATTTTCGTTGAATTTCGTATAGAAAAACATGGATATGGTCCATGAAGTCCTTTTTGAAAGGACAGCAACTTGTACTATCTATAATTCTCAGAACTAGTCCTAACGTGTATTTCTATAGTAACTAAAAAGGTGGTAGAAATGAATATTTGGCAATTATGCCGCGGTCGGTTAATCAAATGACCTTGATTATAATTTCTCTATCAATGACTTCTCGTCGTACTAAATAAATAAACTCACAACATTTATTTTTAAGATTAACTTTATTAAGAAAACTATTAGTCAAGTTAAAAGATAATAAATATCGCAGATATTTTTTGTCATGAAATAATGATTCTTTAAACACGATATGTTTATTATTAAATTTCAAATCCAGTAAAACGTTACTTTTACGTTCTTTCCCCCTTTAAATGATAAGTCAGTGCTTTCACTTCCGAGTTCCAAATGACAACGAAGACTGAACGATGAGTGAACGCTGAACGCAAGGTGAAGGAACAGTGATCAAACGCTGAACGCAAGGTGAAGAAACAGTGAATGAACTCTGAACGAACCTTTGTGAACGGTGAAAGCGAGCGCTCGGTGAACGCAGAACGCAAAAAAATGTAAACGCTATGCAACGATGAGCGAACGCTGAACGAACTGTGAACGCACGCTGAAGGAACGGTGAACACACGCTTAACAAACGAAAAAATTGGAAAGTAGAGCGTTTCAACTTTTGTGTACCCGTACCAAAGCACCCTCTAAATTTATGTATATGTATCACTGAAATTTCTACAGATAACTTGAATATTTAGTTTAGATTGCCTTTTTGTAAAAACATTGATAGAATATTTTTGAATACATATTAGAAAGAAAAAAAAAACTTACCACAGGACAACTTTGCTAAAAGAATAAGGTCATTTAACTACTATCTGTGTGGTACGAAAGCCCAATAGTGCAAACCAAAAAAAAAAATTAAAAATTAAAAACGAAATTATTAAATAAAGAAAACGAAATTAATAAATAAAAAAAACGAAATTATTAAATAAGAAACGAAATTATTAAATAAAACACGAAATTATTAAATAAAAAAAACTGGAATTAAAATACGGAATTTATAGATGTGCATGGTAAGGGCCTGAACCCATGAATCATTCCAAAAAGCGCATGTGTTATAAAGCCTCACTTGGTAATTCTATAGACCTGATTTTGTTTCGACATTAAAACAAGTGTGGGGGCAATGAAAAATTAAAAAAAAAAATTAGATAAATTGACAAACGTAGAAAAACATTATGTGCCCACGGTCTATAATTCGCATTTTTGAAGTAAATTATTCACAACTGTTCAATTCTGATCACGGGAATTTGATGCTGTGTCGCATCCCCACAACCTCAAAGTTTGAGCCTGTAAGCCTGGACGTAGGGAGGATGACTGTTTCTGCTTACATAAAATTAATGACATTCCAAAAGAGCTCATGAATCGCAGAAAGGTCAAGGCCTTGATATCGTATTGCTGAATTCCCCCCGAACTAAACATAGCGCCCTATCTGTGTACCCATAAATCTTAGGTTGTTGAAACAATAAAGAGAATTATTTGAATGCTTTGTTTGATTTGTTATGCAAGTGTGTGCATTGTTTGTTCACAACTATCACTGACTTATAAGTACAGATTGAGAATTTGTCATTTAGAGTAGGTGAGAACAAATAGTTAGTGCATCACTTCTAATTACGCTTTGATAAAATGACCAAGAAATTAGAAGTGTTTTGCTTAATTTTTAACTAAGTAAGCAAGGATAAAAATCTACTCATTGTAACCACTTTGACTTGTTTAATTTTTGCACTTGCTCTCTTTAAACAATTTTAATAATGTCAAACAAACCCGCAAAATCCGATCCGTAACGTATCATTTTACAGCATTTTTGTACTGTGCGATTATTGAAAAATGATGTATAGCCATGCGAATTTCCTAAATGTTATAAAGATCAGCAGTTGTAAACAACGAAATCCTAACAGACATGTATATCTTTAATATTTGTGCAATTTATTAGCATAATCTCTTTGATGTTTCAAGTCCAGATTCATTGTATGCTGATAATTAGACCCTCTGAGCTGAGGGTTTAAGAAAGCTAATGTTAACGTAAACTTGGCCAATTCATCAGACTGGTCAAAAGTCACATTAATCATGTTAATGTAAGATAAAAACATAGATCTAAGCACATTGGATGACCAAGGTAAAGTTCTCCCCTATTCATGTATTGTGATTGTCTACTCCAACTGGTTATGTTATCGATATGGGAATAGCTGAGACTCAGTGTAAGTGCAAATATCACACTTGTTTAAATGTCGAAACAAAATCAGGTCATAGAACACGTGCGCTTTATGGAATGATTCGTCGGTTAATTCAGGCCCTTACCATGCACATCTATAAATTCCGTATTTTAGTTTCAGTTTTTTTTTTTTAATGATTTCAATTTCTTTATTTAAAAATTTCGTTTTCTGTTTTCTTTATTTAATAATTTCGTTGTTTTTTTTTATTTAATAATTTTGTTTTCTTTATTTAATAATTTCGTTTTTTATTTTTATTTATTTTTGGTTTGCACTATTGGGCTTCCGTAGTGTGGCACATATACAGTTACCTTAGATAAAATACTTAGACTTCTTGTTTGTGATGTACCCACACTGTCATTTGAGCTGATAACTGATAAGGTTGATAAATATTGTGTATTGTGTTATTGCGATAGTCGGTTATTTAAATAATATATTCTCAACTAATAGCATAAAGTTATGTCACAAATTCATTACACCAGATTTTTTGCTTCTTGCACGTTTCTTATTTTTTCAGAAAAAAAAATCAATCATGAATAAACATAATATTCAATTGTTGATCTGTATTCTGTATGTATCAAATATAAAAAGCAGTGAAACAAGCTTTTGCTTAATATCAGCACAAAGTGTCCCCAGTGACACCAGTCTACAGAAAAATAAATTAATGGTCAGCGAAATGCCTAAAGTGTATTTTATCATTTGGAAAAGGAAATTAGAAAAAAGGCAGTGTTTGTCATCACAACAATTTTAGACATGATACACGATAATTTTTCTCGTCAAGTCGAGATAGCTATCATAACAAAATGTGATAGTTTATCTTGACTAGATGAGACAGAAGTTGGTGTATCTCGACAAAACCAGCCAGTTAACTTGACTTGACGAGACGATTATCCTGACTTGACGCGATATCTTTTATTGACAATATTTATCTGGATGGCATAAATATGCCCCAATTAACAAATCAAGACAGGTTTCCCGAAAGAAAACTTGTTTTGTAACTCTCCTATTCTCGTATAATGTGGTTTAGGAAACTTTTGTTTATTTCAGTGGAAAGTGACTGTCTCATATCATCAAATTCCTAAATGTATTGGCTTATATGTAGATTTTCTTCTAGGCTGTAAATAATACAAAATATGTTTTATTTGTAAATTCATGTATTCAAAATTATTCCTTTTTACAAAATTATCTAAAATCGATATTAAATATGGTCTTTTATAGATATGTTAAATCCATCAAAAGTTTGGTAACGCCTTGTATCATTTTTGCCATTTAGGCAAGGAATGTTTAAAAAAGAAGATAAGTTTAGAATAAAATTTAGGTAATGTCCACAAAAGGGTTTCCTCTGTACGCAATGCGAGTACGGCCTGTTTGGGAGTGCACATTAGATACAATGTCCGACCTACTGTGCGGTCAATCCTCCATCCAACGGAATAGCTGTACCTGTCATGTTGTCTGCTGCAGGTGAGCAAAGGAAAATCACTAATTCAGCAATCTGTCAAAAAATATGATAAAAATGTTAACCATAAAGAAAAACAACAATAAAAACATTACCAATTACCTGTCATAAATGTGACAAAAATATTAATTAACGACAACAGAGGTGGTAATTAACAGTAATTACTTATTTTAAACATGACAACAAATTACCGATTAAATTTTTACTGCGTGTGATTACATTTATGTATCATCCACATATGTTGTCGTACAGAACAATATTACTGTACTGTACAAAACCCGCCAGTGTAAATCTTGTGAAGAGTCTCTTATCCGTAATTATTGCGATTAAGGAGAATTAGAATAGTATTGTTAACTCAAATGTGAAATCTTGAAAGATTAAATATATTGAATTTGTTTTCAATGGTTCATTTAGTGCAAATTTACTTCATTATCACTCAGCTTTATTTCAAAGCATATACCTGAGTAGTTGTGGTATTCTTTTTCGTAGGATTCACTTCTGCAAGTTTCTCCTGTAATTGAAATTTAACATATATAGAGGACATCATCAGTGAAACTGGATGTGCTCTTAGATAAGACATTTTTCACTCTAACATCAATCTACGTTTTTCAATACATGAGCCGAATTTTATAAACATGATTTACAAGTATATATTTTTTTACCAAACACCTTTCACGACTTTCGCCCGATTCCTTTTGCATGGAAGAAAGTAGTGGCTTAAGAACTAAAAGATATGCTTATAAAAGTTAATATTTATTCTTGGAAACAAAATCATTTATGTTTTACATCATATTGTCAGTGTAAGGTTTTTTTATTTAATGAATTTAATAATAATAAAAAAAAAATTAATAGATAAAAATAAATTAAAATTTAAAAATAGCAAAATGTTGTTGAAAACCTAATGAACAAGCAAATTAATTGAAAATCAGAGAAAACTCTCTTTTGTTTTAGTCTTTTAAGTGAGAGAAATGTTAAACTATCATTCAGGACAAGGAAAGGTGGATAACTGGATATATTAAAGTACTTTTCGGTGTATTCAGGAATTATATTTCAAATATTTCAGCACTTTCTTTTTTAATTGTTTCAAAAATTCCTTTTCAATCTGTTGATCAGATTTTTTTGGGGAGTGAGGGAACATGATCTTGAATTTAAATAAACTATCTTTCGATTTAAATTGTCAACTTGTAAAACTCACTGTTTGTATCAACTGTGCAAGGACATATACTGTTACACGTAACTCCATACTGCGCAGCCTCTACTGCAATGCCCTTTTATTGAACAAATAATAGATATTTGACCCACGATACAATAATACCCTTTTTATTTTCAAACAGAAAATTTGAAATACTAGTAAAGGTCATGATCAGGAGTTTATTTTTTTACATTCTCATTGAAGTAGTTTTTTTTTTCTTTTACAAAGATATATCTTAGTTTATTTTAGGTTAAGAAATAATTAGTGAAATATTTACCCTAGTGAGTCCAATGAGTCCTGCCTTTGCGGCCGAATAACCTGTGGATTTAGGGGATCCTACCAGCCCAAACGCCGAGGATATGTTCACAATTCTCCCCCATCCTAAAAGACGACAGTATATACACATTTGTGATTGTTCCACCTGCATTTTGTCATACCTATTCTTCGTTTGCTCATTTTGAAGAAAATCTTGTAATTTAGATAAAATCATAGGATACCCTAAGTCCGGTGAAAGCTGTATTTCTTACAAAATCTTCTTGTATTTGAAAGATTGTAGAATCAAATTTATTTATAATAAAATCAAAGTAAACATGCATTTCTTTTTTGGAATTCATTTTAAGGCTTTTTTAAGTTAAATTTCATGAATATTTAGTTTTATTAGTAAAGAACTGATTATAATGAAAAAAAAAATAGTCTCTTTGAAAATGTTCGTAATAAACATGTATTTAAGGTCAAGATCTAGTAAATGACTTTAGATTCAATTATGACGTCATAATCAATTTACACGCACTTTTTCACGTATATTACGGCTTCAAAAATTATGTTGAAAATAAAGCGTTTCATGGAGTTCAATTTAAAATCATGTCAAAAGTTATCCTGATACCTATATTGAATTTTAAATCATTTCAAAGAAGAGGTCAACAATATGTAAATTGTCGATGTCTGAGAGACTGTAGGCAATCTGGAAATATTTCTTTTCTCTAATATGTATAAAAAAAACTTCCCATGTTTATATATGATGAAATATATGGAGATAACGAACAGTATTCAAGCTCAAAAGTCCATTATACAATACAAAATAGGAGCATAGCAAACACGGACCTCTAAACATCAGAGGTGGGATCAGGTGCCATGGTGGAGTGAGCATCTCCTGCCGACCGGTCACACCCGCCGTGTGCTCCTTGTCATGATCGTTAAATAACGGAAAAATCCGTCGACAATTCAGTGTGTAAATAATGGTCTAACAATTAGTATGAAAAACGTCAGTCAGCATTTGACTCAATGATAAATTGTACTTGCTGACATTTTCTTCACATTTCATTCACAATGACATCCTCACAATGTCAAGGTTTTGTGATTTCGGAACTCCACACAAACCCTTGACATAAGTCGTTATTTAAAAGTTGGGCTTCTGGTTACACATGACGTAATAGGTAATTACAAACTAACAAAAGAAAAAAAATATTTTTTTCAAATCCGTCGTTATCAAATTGCCCAACTCCAGGACATATCTTTTGTGAGTGTAAGGAGGAAGATCTTCAAAAAATTAATCCCGATGTTTCATTTGAAGTAACTAGTCACAAATCCTACAATATTGACACTTTCCATTTTAACGACGAGTCTTATTTGTTTTCAAAACTTACCAACAATAAAAGCTGTTTTCTGATTGGATCCAGTCCTAGACCAGGTACAAATGAAATACGCAGGTGTGTTAAGGCAGTACCCAGATCAAATTTCGGCGAATTTAGACTTTTTTTTTCGTAAAATGTAACATTGATAAATCGGAAAAGCCATAGATAAAACATTTACTATTATTTTTCATTGTATAGACGTCATTGAGTTAGGCTAAAAGAAGCACTCCACCACGACGTCATCACGTGACGTCTATAAATAGAAAAATTGCCTTAATGAAAAAGTGAAAAGTTCAACACTACCCAGGAGATAATTCATTTATTTGAGTGAAATGGTTATGTAAAAACATCACTGGGTCATGAAAAGTGCTGCTAGAATCCTACTCTCCCGACATAGAAAAAATATTCCAAAGTTTCGCATGAAACCTTACCAAAATTTTTACATTTTATACATACGATCAAGGAATTGTTATTAATTCTGTTAACCACACGATTCTAGCAGCACTTTCCAAGTACTATTGAATACAAGCTTTCGATACAATCAAAAATTGTGTTTCAAAATATGCGGCGTAGTGTTGAACTTTTGCATCTTTGTTGTTATAGAACGACAGAGGAAAGGCTGATCGGGATTTCAAAGCACTGTCTGTGTGCGTTTTAATAAAGCATGATAAGAATATATCAGCTTACCTGATTTTTATTCTTTAATTCCTTATGAATCACACATAATATTCACGGTATATGCTTTAAAACTCCCATTTCATATATTTGCTTACATGAATTCTCGTCACCTTTAATTTCACTCGGCAAATATTTGATCAATAGTTATGACGTCATGGGTTTGGTATTTAATCCCCGTGCTAAATAAGTAGCTATCTATACCACCCAAAAACGGCAAGATTTAGTTTATATTATGTTTTGAATGATTCCATTCATTTCTTGGACCTGAAATTAAACTTTAAATATAGATATTAAGAAATCATTATTTCTAAAGTTCACGTCATACAGCTTACTATGACATCATATTGTAAAGGCAAGTAGAATATCTCTGGGTGTAGCCTTAACATACCCGCGTAGTAGCTATCTAGCCCAACTTTTAAATAACGACTTATGTCAAGGGTTTGTGTGGAGTTCCGAAATCACAAAATTAAAACCTTGACATTATGAGGATGTGACAATGACAGTTTATTTTTTTTTCGTTGAGTTTACCTTAAGATTATGCCCCAGTGCACCTTACTTTAGTAGGGTATAGTTATAAACCATCATATAAGGAATTTATTTCTCACAATTGATGAATCTGTAGGCACCTTCATTTAATGGATCTTGACTTTTAGCAACAGTTCATCTTTTACATTGTTTTTTTCAATTTTTAATCATGTTTCTTTCAAAATCCTTTGTGTTATATATGGTTTATTACAATTTTTCTTATTGCTTTTACATTATCCACTATTCTAAAACAAAATGCTATTACAATGAAATGTTTTCTTTTGTTTGTTTGTTTGTTTTTGTTTAGCGTCCCTCTGGAGAAATTCTTCACTCATATGGAGACGCCACCACTTCAACGTGGAGATCTGCAAATTTTTGACTTATACTCGGCACTCAGGGCCATTGAGCAGTGAGGGATCTTTTTCGTGCCAGCATCTACTGCGACACGGGACCTCGGTTTATACGGTCTTATCCGAAGGACCGGTATCCACGTCCCACCGTGGAATTCGAACCCGCGACGTTAGGATCAACTCCTTATTCCGCGACTCTAGAGCGAACGCTCTAACCACTGCGCCACGCGGGCGACGAAAAGTTTCCTAATGAAGGAAATTTACAAAAGATATCATATAGTTATCTATAATACACAAGCAAAAAGGTAGCTTTTATAAATGAAATGTGGAGGTAACGAACTGTAATCATTCTCAAAAGTCAAAAAAAGTCACTAATTAACAGCGAGGCGAACATGGACCTCTGAAAACATAGGTGCCATGGAGTAGTAAACATCTGGTCACATGCGCCGTACGCGTGTGCTCCTTGGCATGTTCGCGTAAATGTGGAAAAAATTCCCTTATCAATTCAGTGTGAAAACAATAACCTGTACATTTGCATAAAAGATGTTAGTGACGATTCAACTTAACGACAGATTGTTTTTGCAAACAAGGTAATTGCATCGACCACAGAATTTTCGAAACGTGATTTTATACGAAATTGTTGGTATCTTTGTATCATCACTTGTTTGTAAATAGTCTGCCTTCTGTTAGAAATGGTTAATATATACGCAGCTCTGTTAAGACTGCATAAAGGGGTGGGGTCTAAATTATACGGGAAATGCTTACTGTAACATCACACAAAAATAGGAATTCCTCATAATAACAGACAATGAAATAATTTGCGATTTTAAACTTCATATGAGTAATGAAATTACATCAAAACTTACCAATGCAATCAATTTTATCGCTACTTAAATCCCACAAAGCAAAATATAAACAAGTCACTGATTGCAATGCACATGTCGATATGACGTCATCATGGTAAAATTTGACGCATTTAATTTGCAATGAGAGGCGGATCAAGTAATTTTATCACAGTGACAAAATGCATTTAATAATTGAAGAGAATATTATTTGCAAATCTTAGGTAGACCATTTATACAAATCTGAAACCTTTGTTTAGTGCATTTATTTAAAAACTATCGAGAGAATGAATCAATTCTACCGTGTTTTTGTACAGGGTTTGCATATTTCACACTGAGGTTAAACTGCCTTTTCGCAAGGGCATACACTTTATAGATCTTGAGATTTTTTAAATATACATACCTTACCTTAAAAAGTTCTGCTGCTTTCCTGAAATCGAGAGCATTACCTAATAAATACACAAAATACTTGGTAAAGGTTCACATATTTTTCGACTACAGCTAAATAATTTGAAATTTAAACTAATAAAATGCGAATTCTATTTAAAGCAGCAGGACTTTCCACAAACTACAAGATATGAAGAAACAATTTATTACTTAAATTTTTTATTATAACTAGGGTATGCCCTTGCGATATTGAAATTTGTTCATGACCTACATACAGTACATATATTTATCTCCTGACTGTCAAATAACGTGAGCAAACCAAATTCAATACAGAGCGGGGTATTCAATGTTATTTCAATCAAAATTAAAGTCATGTGATAATATAGTAGCTTTACAAAATTAGATTCAGTTTAAAAAGCTATGTATTTATGCACGTTCATATTCCGTTGATTTCTTCGTAGTACACCTTAACAGTGCTGCGTAGATCATGCTCTTGCATATTGAATCACGTGGGAGACCTAAACTCCTTCAGTAGGTGATAATTGTATAATGGTACATAAATAAAGGACATTGGCGGCAAATATGATGAAACCATCACCTTAATCATAAGATTTTAAATTCTGAAGAGGATTTACTATGTCACATATGGATATTAAGATTTTCGGTTTTAAACGCCGTTTGAATTCCAGTTACCAACTGGGACAGAATTTTACTGTTGATTTAACAGGAATGCAATTTTATAATTTACATTTAAATACAATTTATTCGAGTAGTTTAATTTTTTTTTTCATAAATACTCAACAAATGGAAGTATCTATGTATATTACTTCAAAAATTATAATTATTCTTTTTAAGGTAGTTCTATACTCGGCACTAAATGGATTCAAGCTTGAAAAACTTGCTTTCATAACATAGACATACATTCCAGCAATGGATAGACATAAGAAAAATTATATTTCAACATGCTTATTTTTCTGCTATTGCCTCTCAGCAGTATATACCACAAAATTCCAAATATTGAAATTTAAGAGAAGGTACCTGTCTTCAAATTTGTCAATAAATTAGAATTAAAATCTAGAGAGTCAAACTATAAAACCTAAAATAGAATGGAAACATGTTATTAAAACATATTTCATCATTGTTTTGTATGAATTTTTATAAATATATGCACTTTGTTGGGTTAAAGTATCAAAATGTAACACAAGAAACTATGCTTCACTGGTCAGTCTGGATCATTTTAAAATATATTTATGGACTCAGTCTTGGACTCAGTCTTTGAGAAAGTGTTTTATTTTTACAAAATAACATCTTAAAAAAAGAATTATTTAAAAAAAAATTACATGTTGATGCATTTTTTTTTCATAGTATAAGATTTGCACTATAGGGACCCCCATGAAAATTTTCTCTCAAAAATAATATTGTGCCATATTCTGCTATACATTTGTAGTTTGAGTGTATTTATAAAGTTGTACATACAGGGTGTCCCAGAATATATGATACCATTTCAAGATTCTGTAAGACCTAATGTAATAAATATTGGATTACAACAAATGCATTATAAATAATGTCCAATTTTATTCACATAATTTGACAGTCATTGAAAAGAAAACAACAAATGGAGTTCAGTTTGAAAAATGCTATGGTTTTTAAATGATGCCCTCTAAATGACGTTCTATTTGTGTAATGATAATGTCTAGACATTGTACAAAGTTCCTTAACTTGAGACAGCAGTGTCTGTCTTGGTAATAACTTCAGGATTTTTATCAGAGGTAAACCTTCTGTATATGTTAAGGATTTTGGTTTAGGTTTAGCAGCAGTAACATAACACTAGGATTGATAATTACAGTTTTAAAATGAGGGTAGCTAGCTCTTTTGATAATCCATTTTCATTGAAATTGCAGTTTTTTGCAAAGGTTTGACGTAAATTTGATACGTTGCAATTTCATAACTGTGAGAATTTTTTTTTAATATTTTGTTGCTAAAAAATTGTACTTATCTATTTTTAGAGACTTATATCAAAGAAATTGGCCAAGGAATGTGTTCGTGGCAGGTATTTCAAATGGTATCATATATTTTGGGACACCCTGTAAAACAATAATTATACACATTCAGTACCTACTGTCCCTATAATCCACCTTGTTTTAGAATTCTTTCAGAAATATGTATACCACTTGTCAGTAAAATTGGAGACATTGGATCTGACCGTTATTAACAGATTCTGGCAAACTGGATGATCTGGGTACAGAAAGTTGGTGTGCTGCAAGTGAATAAACTATTTTCATTTACTACTATACTATTACATAAAAAAATATTTTTGCATTGTGCTTCAATCCGATCAGTTTGCAGGTGAGGAGGGTGTATGTGTCTATGAAAGTGTTAATTATTTAATGTTCATATTTTGATGTTTGAAATAATGAAATTTATTAAAGTTGTCCCTGTCAAATCGTAGCCAATTCCTTCTCTTGCGAGCTATCAGTATTAACTTCACCTTGCCCGCCGACAAAAGTCTTTGACTGTCTGTCTTGCATCGGCTTTGATAGCATACTCCTGGTCCATTTTATCTGCTTATTCTCATCCAAAGAAACGTCGTTTATGCTATAGCTTTATTACCTCATCGTCTCTCTGTCAACATAAAGTTTTTTCCCCATCCTTTCCTTTTACTTAATTTCCCGTTACACTTTCTTTGACGTGACCGACTTATAACAAAATCTTTACCGGATATTTAAAACGCTGAGTAAAAGTCAAATCAATCTAGTTAAAAAATTACATTTCGGAAAAAGGAAGCGTGGTTCCGGTTTTACCAATCGTTAAAAACGTAGTGCGAATATAGATCTACTTTAATGCTATCAAGGAGATTACTACTCAGTTAAAAGAACTTATTTCATAGGCTTTCGGATTTTCTTCGATGAAACATGTTCAAAACAAACAACGCACCATAAAAAGAACTAAGTAGAAATTAATAATAATGTTATGGTAACAAGATTTATTCCTACATTGTAGCTTTGATTTTATACACTCTATAGTACATAAATAAAATATATGTTTCCCTTAGCAGAATGATTAAAACACATATTGATACCGCGTCAATTTCTATATGAAAAACAAAAATAACACATCAGTGGTGTTACTCATTCCTTTATTTTTTATTTTTTATTTATTTTTTTTTTTTTTTTTTTTTTTTGCTGTTGTTATTGTTCTTTGCTTGTTTGATGTTATCAATCTCAAAGTTTTTGCCTTGTTTTTCACTAATTTAGGGTCAACATAAAATTGCTTTTAAATAGAACCGTGTCTTACCTTTCTTTTTCATTGACACAAAAAAGTGTTTAGAAAGATGAAATGGTGCCGTCAAATTTACAGTGATTTCTTCATCGAAACCCTCTAGCGTTTTATTTTCTAGGAGGTCAAGGAAGACAACCCCTGTAAGAAATTTTATTTCAACAGAAATATATTGATTATTCTTTAAATTGTAATAAATTTTCAAATATCTCATATAACGTTGTATTACTTATACAAGCTGAAGTTATAAAACATTTAAATATAAAAGTGTAAAAGCACTTTTTTACATATAGTTGATTTAGAGTTTTAAGGACAGACAATACGTTCCTCAATAATATATAATTTTTTCCAAGCTTTTATCATTGAAGTATTGATACTTTAAAAAGTTTACTCACAAAAAATGGAGGTACCTTACCAGGCTTTTGTGCAAGATACCAAAGGATAGTTTTCTAATATAATCCTTTAGGGGAAAAAACCTAATTTTACAATATCAATTTTTTTTTGTGTTTGGATTTTTTAATGACGATTAGAAACTGGTTTAGAAATCAGAAGGTAATTAAAATTTTGAATATTTTTCACATATTACGAAGATTTACATAACAGATAATCTGAGGAACGTATCGTCTGACCTTAACAATTTAATAGATACCGAATAAAACTTTAGGAAAAAATGTCATTTTAACATTAACTTAGAATGCATTTGTTAACACTTGAAATATAATTTACCTGCATTATTTACTAATATATCTATACCAGCTGGAACAGCAGAATCTATTTTCTGGCAAAGATCAGTTATACTTTCTCTCTTAAGCAGGTTGCATTCGAAATACCGAACTTCCTTTTTGCATCTGTAAAAAAGAGTAACACGATTTTAATGTGGAAAACATCAGCAGTTGCCCAAATTCCAGGAAATTGAAAATAAATCTCACTTTATACTTCCATCATTTCATATTAAAATTTACTCAGTACTTATACAAAACAGATAATTTTAATGAAATGTTACATTTGGGTGAGTTTTTCGATGTTATCTGTGACAGTTTCTGCATCGTATCGGTCTATTCCGAGAATAGTGCATCCAGATAGGGCAAGGTATCTTGCAATTTCAGATCCCATGCCTCCACAAATACCGGTCACTAGAGCAGTTTTCCCGTTTAATGCCATACTAAAGTAAAAAATTAAAATAATATAAAATAATTAAAGCATGTTATTTTTACAATGAAAAATATGATATCTTTAAATAAAAATATTAGCAACTATTTATAAATAAAAATATAAGCAACTTTTTTGGCGTTGGTGTGTAACCATTCTTTCAAACATTAACATCTTGTATTATTCTTAGAATGTATTATATTGCTTGTTTACTGAATGTGCTTTGATGAAAAAGCATTCGAATTGATGTTTGAGAGGAATATGGTGTAACATTTGACACATAAACGAAATATACCTTATTTAATTGAGCTTATTTAAATAACTTTGATATCACAGTGTTATGCTCAAGGAAAAAGACCCTAGAATTCATGTCCCACATGAATTTCATGTAAAATATTTAAATTTCATACTACATTATACTACATGTATATATGATTTTTTTTGTTTAACTATGAAATTATATCCCTCTAAGCATATTTTTTTTTCTAAAAGTACGAAAAATTCACTCCACGAAAATTATTAATTTTTGAGTATTTATTTTTCCTACTTTCTAGAATATTGGTTGTTCATGTTCTGTCACTAAAGGACCTCAAATGATTTAAGATCTGTCACAGTAGCCCATTAGTAGGGCTTTCATTTCGTAATCAGAGGGCTCAGCTTCTATTCTCGTTTGCCGCGCCATGTCAAACCTAAGACCTAAGCATTATTCAAATGATCTAAATTGATTTGCTGAACAAGCCAAATGATGTTATGTATTATCCATAATTCCTTTATTTTTATTTAAACAAAGTTGATAACTAATGTAGAATGTTCAAGTTTAAGGACAGATGATACAAACTTTTATCAAATTTTTTTAGAAGAACCACTTTAGTCCTGATTACATGAGTAAAATGAACAAGTTTAACCTTATAGATTTTAATTTTTTTATTCAAAGTTTCACAAAAATGTGATTTTAATCGACAAAAAATATATATTAATAAGGAGATTTGCAGAAAGGTAGAATTTTGAACATCATAGAAAGTAAACAAATTCGTAATATTCTAGGAATTTATTACTTGCATCATTTACAATCAAAATAGGTTCAAAAATATATACCAATCCGGGTATCCATTTTTCTGTTTCTTCTGTCCTTAACCGACGATTGAGCAGACACAATGTCAATAGATTCTACTTTTTTTTTTTTTTTTTTTTTTTTTTTTTTTTTTTTTTTTTATAATTTTTGATATCAAAGCTTTGTATTTAAATTTTAGACTTTCGTCTGAGACAAAATGCAAAAAAATGTGTTAGGAACGCCTCACCACTACCTTATCAAGGCAGCCCTGTAGATTCCTGTATATGTTTCATTGAAATTCCTACAGATAATTTGAACATTAAAATCATTACATATTTTGAATATATTTTAGTAAAAGAAACTCACAGGAAGACAGCTTTGCTGAAGGAATCCGGTCACTTTACTGCTATCTGTATAGCATATATACCTATAACCTAAGGTAAATTGTTTAAACTACTTGTGTGTTACGTAATCTACGGTTATCTGGGCTGTTTAGCGGATAAAGTTGATAAGTGTCAGTGTCTAGATATCAAGCATCTGAAACATAATCATCTAGCGTGTTCATGTTTTTCTTTACCCTTAAGTCCCTGAAGCGTTCTACTTTCTCATTTTTCCGTTCGTTCACCGTTCGCTCAGCGTGCGTTCACCGTTCGTCTACCGTGCGTTCAGCCTGGGCTCTCCGATCACATTTTTGCGATCGGCTTTCACCAACCGCTTGTGTTCGCCGTTCACAAAGCGTTCAGCTTCGCTCACCGTTCGTTCACTTTATGTTTACTTTGCGTTCAGCGTTCACTTATCGTTCAGTCTTCATTGTCATTCAACACCGAAGTGAAAGGACTGATCTATTTAAGTAAAAAGAATGAAAATGCAAGGGTCTATAGGTCTAAGAAATTCAATAGCTTAAAAAATCATTATTTTATGAAGAAAAATTATTTTCAATATTTATTATTATTTCATTAAATTAATTGTTATGTTATTCAATAATTTAATCTACAAAATAAATATCGTTATAAGTATATCTACATGTACATGTACAACGATGCTGAAATATAAGATTGAAACAAGGCAGTATACAGGTCCTAAAGACGCTGCAACATTTCGTTGCTAAACTGTATGTCACAGACGACAATTCATTGAGAGAGAGATACTCAAATTCAACTGATTAACCACCGCCAGCATATTTACGAAATTATTCATTCCCAGCACATTTTTCAGTTGCTGTAGAAATACATGTAGTACTAAAAATTATAGATAACATTCTGGAAGTCTACAGTGTATTTGTTTGTTTCTTGTTTAACATTCCTCTCGAGAATTTTTCTCTCATATGGAGATGCACCACTTGCTGATAGACGGCTGCAAATTTTGACTAATACTAGGCAGTCGGGGCCATTTAGCAGTGAGGGATCTTTTTCATACCAGCACCTACTGCGAGTCAGGACCTCGGTTTATACGGTCTCATCCGAAGTACCGGTCATCACGTCCTGCAGTGGGATTTGAACTATACTTTGTGACGCACATTAATAGTTAAAAAATATCTTTTTTAATTGTAATATAATAATAAATAAACAAGCATTCTGAGAATGTTGCATTAGCAACACTAGTCCCCTACCGGCAAGCGTAATCTGGTTCCCGTTAAGAATTGAAAATGCCATAATTCCGTCAAAAATTAACGAAGCGGATCGAAATGCAAACATGATCTATAACTAATCAAGGTAAAGTCACATACTAAAAATCAGTTCAGTATCTTAAAGCGTTTTGAAGAAAATTGCGGAAAACCCTTAAACATTGAAAAGGCCGTAATTCCGTCAAAAATCAAGAAGCGAAAAGAAATGCAAACATGATCTGTAACTCATCAAGATACACTCACATACCAAAATCAGCTCAATACCTGCAAGGGTTTAGGAAAAAAGTGGGGAAAACTAAGTGGGACAGACTGACAGACAGAGGACAGACGGACGGACGGACGGACAGACTCAGAGGAAACCTATACCCCCTCCGGTTTTACCGGTAGGGGACTAACAAGCAAAGTTTTGACGGAAATTTAAGGGGATAAGCTTTTCTTCTTTTCATTTAATCATAGTTTATGGTCAGAGAGAAAACTGTAACTATATGTTTGTCCTTCGATATGATTTAGAGCTCCCCACCCTCTTTTTTTTAAATCAGCCACTTATGCAGTATTTGCAGTATAATTTAATGAACATTAAACAAGAAGTCAATGAATTTTATGATATAAATATCAGTCTCAAGACATACAAAGAAAGTTATTGGTCATTTGCAAAATTATTTTGTTAAACACATTCTTACACACAAGTACTCTGAAGTTAATATTAAAAAAATATGCTTGAGTTTCTGATTGACAATATCTATGTAGAACAGGTCTTCAAAAAATCTGTCGTAGTCTCCATGGGTACCACGTGCGTCCTCATATTAGCAGATTTATTTCCATGTATTTATATCCATATGAAGCAAAATTTATTCAAAAAACATCTTCATAAGAAGAAAAAAAAAAACATTTGCTGTAAACTTTTACTCGACATTATACAGTTATGGAATGGGTACTCGGGAAATAGCAAATTTATGGTTCCCCGAGGGAGGAAACTATTTCGCGAGGCGGCGAAGCCGCCGAGGGAAATAGTTTCCTGCCGAGGGGAACCATAAATTTGATATTTCCCGAGTACCCATTCCATAACTATTTTATTATACCGAAACAATCAAAGGAGATTTATTAACTATAGAGACTTAGACATTTTAAAACAATATAGAGGCATTTATATAAATAATCAAAAATGCGTGTGATTCCAATTTTGTTAAATATGTAATGCATCAATACGTAAAAAATTAAATTGTTTTAAAAAAATGATAATTTCACTAACATTTCGAAGGATTATCGTTGCCCTCTTTTTGCTTAGAAATTCCAGTATGATTTTGACATCGCATGTCGAAATGTTTTGACGTCATAGTTACATTGCTAATAACATTACGTCACGGACTCGAGATTCCTCGAACGCTCCGCCCACTGTTCATTTTAATTGGTTAAAATTAATAATAAATATTCATGAGGGAGTAGTCCCAGGGAGTAGCTCCGATTTTTCGGGGAGTAGTCCTCAGATGGGGGAAATAGTATCTTCTGGGGGAAATAGACAGTTTTATGGTATTAATTTTATATTGAGTAATAACAGTAGAGGTATAATAATTAGATATATAGATGACATCGACGTATTTTCAATTAATAATAGTCACTTTCATTCATATCTTGACTCGATATATCCCGGTGAGCTTGAAATAAAAGATACCACAGAGTCTGACACATTAGTTTCATATTTTGATATTTCACTAGAAAAAGACTTTAATGATAACCTAACAACAAAGCTTTATGAGAATCGTGATGACTTCATTTTTTCGATTCGTCAACTTCCCCTTCTTATGTAGCAATATACCCATATCACCTGTTTACGGGGTTTTTGTTTCCCATTTGATTCGATACGCAAGAGCAAGCTCTACGTATGAACAGTTTTTTTTTAAAACAAGCAAGCTATTGACAAACAGGTTGATGAAATAAGGATATCAATAGTTTCGTTTCAAGTCATCATTTCGCAAGACCTTGTCAGCAAATATAACCTTTCATTAAGTCAAATGCTGACTAACGTTTTCCATACTAATTGTTAGGCCATTATTTACAAAATGAATTGTCTACAGATATTTTCCCAGTCATCACAAGGAGCACACGGGGGTGTGACCGGTCGGCAAGGGATCCCACCTCTGATGTTTTCGAGGTTCGTTTTTGCTTTGAGCTTGAATACTTTTCGTTATTTTCATAAATTTCATGTACAAAATCGGATGCAGGCTTGTTTGATCAATTTACAATCAAGCAAACATTTATGAAGGCGGTAGACTTCATGCATCAGGCTCCTTACAATACAAGGTCATTGAAAATTGAGAATTGAGGTATATGGGTGCAAGA